CCCTGTTGTGTCCAGGTCACAAGATGTATTGGTTGTTGGTTGTGATCATGATTACGAGCTGTTGTCAGAAAGCTCACCTCTCCTACAACACGGTGGGAATAGAGACCACGCACACGGGAAGAGCAGAGGCTGATGATCCGCAGCCGCGGCCCCGGGGAGTTGGGGTGGGAGGGAGCCAGGGAACCTTCGCAGTGTTGCGTATGCACATGTGAGCTGTTTTCTGTGGGTATATGGTATATCCTAGAAGTGTCTATAACGCATATGTGCAATGCTAACATATTATATAACATACATGCTGATATGTTAAAATGTTTTCTATGTATAGAAGGATTCTTTATAGGAAAAAGGGGGCTCGGGGGCACCTGATGGGGTCCTGGGGAGGTGGGGTGTCCGTGATTGCTGGGAGCGCATTGGGCTCTCTCTGGTCCATCCTAAATCCATAGTGGGGAAGAAATCAGTGAAGCCGGCAGTCACTGACCAGGCCAGGAGGTTTGGGACGATGCATGGGTGGCTGTTTAATCCCGGGCTGTCCTGGAGACGGAGGTCTGACGTCCTGCAGGTCGTACAGGCTGCTGCCCCCTGGTTCCCGTGAAGAGGGCTCGGCTGCCAGGGCGGCTGCAGGTGGTGGTCAGGGCTCCGTGCTCATGAGCAGTCTGGCCGCTGTCCGTTCGTGTGTTCAATCTCTTACCACAATCTCTAAGGCGGTGTTTTCTGAACATGTGTGTCCATGATGTGCACTGGGCAGCGTGAATCTCCAGTGCACCGGGCCCTCCTGGAGCGACTCCTGCAGACTGCTGTGTGCACGTGTAGGAAGTGGGGTGGGCAGCGCGTCCTTATTTTTAAGTAACCCCCAGGCCACGCATGCAGTCTGCGGCCCTTAGGATGACCACGGCGGGCCCACGGTCCTCATCAGAGCCCAGACCGGACCCTGTCCCGGCCGAGCAGGGGGTTGAGGGCATTTGAGTAAGAACAGAAACAAAGGCTTATCTTGGGCTCATAGAAATATGCACAAAATTAAGGCCCCTCCTCTGTAACTGAGATCTTTGCAGCTTTCTGCTGCGACCCTGGGTGTGCTGGGCATGGACATCCCACTCCTGAACCCCAGGCCCTCTGTCCAGCAACAGGTGCGGGGCAACCGCTGCGTCCTGACCATTTCTCGGCCTCGACCACCGTCCATGGATCTCAGAACAGCCGCTGCCAGGTCCCGCCTTTTGGCCTGAGCGGGTGTGGTCGAGACAGGTAGAGGGGGTCCTCCAGTCTCCAGACCACGCAGCCTTCTCAGGGTCATGCACTCGGGGAGCTTCACAGCGAGGGTCTTGTCCCAGTCCTTCCAGAACCTTCCGTGTTGACCAAAGTCATCCCTGGAGGTGTGGGGTGAAGAGTACCCTGGGTCCTGTCACACCTCACCCCTAAGTCCACCTGGAAGAAACATGAGGATCTTCTGCATCTAAGTCCATGGCCCCCTGAGGAGAGAACATTCTAGAAGCAGGGAAGGAGCTCAAGTAGGGGGTACCTGTCCCTCGCATCCACCCCTAATAACTTCAGTGGGTTGACTTCCTGAACGGGAGGCCCAGTGTAGTCTGCACAGACGGCGCTCTGGCCTCAGCTCTGAAGGGCCTGACCCTCAGCCTCTGTCCACGTGGGACCCTGGTTCTCGTCCTCAGGCTGTGGTGCCCAGCCCCTGGTTGTGCCGTCAACCTGGTCCTGCCCAAAACCCCACCATCGGGCAGACTCAGACCTGCCAGGTCCCTGGCTGCAGGGTATCTGCTTGTCCGGAGGAGCGGCCGGCTGGCCAGTGGGCAGGAGACCCAAGGGCGGTGATGATGAGACCGAGGCCCCGCCGGGCCCTGTCCGCGCAGGGCTGAGGGCTGCCCAGGGTTTGCCAGCTCCCTCAGCAGATGGCCAGCTCCTCCCGAGGGCCTGGACCCGGCCTCCCCTCGCAGGTCCCATCCTGCCCCCTCGTCCTCCTTCCCATCGGGGAGGGCTGGCTCCTGTTGGGAGGAGGAAGTTTCGCTGCTGCCTTCTGAGGTCCTTGGCCTAGAAGAGTGCTGGTTCTGACGTCAGGAGGCCGTCAGCTCGACGGGCCTCAGACTCCTCGTCTGCCTGCCGTGTGGTGGCTGGAGCTCAAATCCCGGCAGCTGTCCACACCTCCCAGCTGGTGTTTTGGCGGGGCCCTGTGGGGCTCCCTACACAGGCCGTTAGGGGCCAGCCCAGCACTGGAGCAAAGACTACAGGCAGGTTTTGGGGTTCCCCTGCTGTGGCTCCCCCTTTTATGCACATCTCCCTGCCTTGCCAGCTGCTGTTGAGATGCAGCCCTGAGTCCTGTGACCTGACCCCTCTCCGGGACATCCGCAGCGTGAGCTGGGTTCCACTTACACTGTTGCGTGGAGGCGGGAGCACCTTCCGACAAAGCTTTCGAGGGGAGAGCCTGTCCAGCGTCTGCCTCCTTGGCCGTTCCCCAGCACCTTCACACCGTTGCTTCTTTGCACAGTTTCCCGAGTTCACAGTTGCGTCCGCAGGGGCTTCGTCTGGTGCAAGCTGATCCCTGACCTGGGAATCGGAACTGCTTTCTTTCACGTGGTTTTCATTCTCATTGCCTTATAACCAGCGTGGCTCAGCGTCCTTTCCCTCAGTTTCAGGCTATTTGGATGTCTTCCGGGAGACGCCTGTTCAATGCTCTTGGCCATTTCTCTACGGAACTGTGTGGTTTCTGTAATTGACTTACAGGAGTTCCCTGCATATTCTGGACACGTTGTCAGTTGCATGTTTGTAGGAAATATTGGGACAGACTTTGAAAAGGACCAAACGTGACTTCTGTCTTCAGTGGGAAGCAAGACATTGTGTTGCCCCCCACCCCCAGGTGGTGTGAGTAGCGGGCTCCGCCCTTTCCACCCTCTTTGGGCTATTTTACAGCTCTGCCCATTGTAGAGAATCAAGGCCATGGGAACGCTCTTCTTGGAAGGATGGTTGACTCCTCCCTCTCTCAGGAGGACAAATCAGATGCATTTGAAAATGCCTCTATTCACAAGGTCCTTTAGCATTCTTGGTTCCACTACATCCACGAGGTAGTTTGAATTCTACTTAGAGCTGGTTATAAGCCCTTAATTGCTGAGTTCAATGAAGTCTTTGAAATGTGTTCATTGTCTGTCTACATGAGCCTGGTGAGCACACCATGATTTAAAATCATTCCTTTAACATGTTTCAAAAGTCTTCTCCCACGTGGGCCCACGTATCCTGGGCCCAGGAAGTTCTGTGACAGGGCAGGGGCGCAGGTGACCTGGTGCTGAGGAGCAGAGCGGGGGGGGTCCGGCCACCCCGTTCCTCCAGAATCTGCGTCAGCTGCTCCCTGGGAAAGCCTCCCTCAGTCCCTTTGGCTGTGGGGCCTCTCAGCTCCCGGCACTTTCCCCTATGCACTCATCATGGTGTCCTCACTTTGCTGTTTGCGGGATGATCTACTTTGTGTCTGGGGAGTGGACACAGGGGGATACTGAGTGGCAGAGGCCGGCACAGACCAGGCCCGGGGTGGTGGGGAGCGTTCTGCTTGGTGCATTCGGGAAGACTGAGAGGAGGCATGGAGGTCAGAGCTAAGAGAAGGGTGTGTAGGAGTTTGCGGTGTGTGTAGAGGGAAGGGACTCCGGCAGAAGGGAACAGCATGAGCAGAGACTTGGGGTGGGAGGCAGCGAGAGGGACCCAGGTAATCGATAGCTGAGCGTGTGGGACAGGGAGCTGTGTGTGTGTGTTTCTGGAACCAACGCCCCTGTTTTGAGCCGAATTGTGTCGTCCAAATTCCAATCTTGAAGCCCTGATCCCAGGACCTCAGAATGTGGCTGTATCTGGAGCTAGGGTCCTTCAAGGGGTAATAAGTTACAATGGGGTCCATAGGGTGGGCCCTTATTCAATAGGATTGGGATCCATACAAGAAGAGGGGTCAGGATGCAGACACTTGCAGAGGGAGGATGATTTTTGGACACGGGGAGAAGAGGCCATCTACATGCCCCAGAGAGCGGCCTCAGGAGAATCCCCTGCTGATGCCCTGATCTGGGGCATCCAGCCTCCAGAAAGTGTGCGGACAAATGTGTGGTGTTCAGGCCGCCCAGGTGGGTTGTTGCAGCCACCCGTGCTGACTAATACACACCCCACACGTCGTCCTGCTTGTGGCCACGGCCAGTGCTGGACGCTCCTCCTGCCCGGGCCCAGGCTGGTCCTGCTCCCCACAAGGCCTGTGTGCCCCGTCTCTCCTCATCACATTGTTTCCGGGCTGCCCTCCTCACCCACGGAACCCCAGGGGCTGGAGAGCCGAGGGCAGGAGGGGAGGGAGGGCTGGAAGGTCATGGAGCTGTGAGGGTGTGGAGGGAGCCCCGATGCACGACTCGGCCAGGCTGTGGGTTCCACGAGGCATCAACATAGGCAGTTATGGAATTTTCCAGGTATTTTATTGTTGTTTTAGAAAAGGAAACTGTAAAGAAAATCAATGGGCTCCAGAAACTTCAAAGAAGGCGAAAAGCTACCCAAGCTCCCACTGTGGGCTTTCCTTTGAGCCGTCTCTCTGTGCAGGGCCCTGGCAGGTGGGGCGGGGCCGCCTCTGCTTCCTGTGGGCAGCCGTGTCCTCCCCGTCCAGAGATGCTGACTTGCCCTTTGTTAAGAGACGTGAGGGGGGCACTGGTTCTGGGGCGGTGAGGTCGGGGGTCTGGTTGGGTCCACCTGCCTCGACTACCTGAGGCCCCGGCTCTCCCCTCGGTGGTCTCGTCTCTCCCCTCCGCCCTGTGGAGCAACTCGGATTTCCTGTGGCTGGTGACACTGGCCCCGCTGAGCACAGGACGGAGTTCCTACTGCCCTGCTCTCCTGGCCCTTCTCCACGTCTGTCCATCAAGGCCAAGCCCACTGGCTTGGTGACCATGTCACCAGGCCTCTCCCCCGGAGGCCATCTGGCTGGATGTTGACCCTCCGCAGGTGGTGCCTCCTCCACCTCCCCGGGCTCCCACCGCGGCCGTGGGCACAGGTCCTCCTTCTAGCAGTCTCCTCGGGTGGTGGTGATCCGAGTGACCGTGAGGTGCACACCCGGAAGCTTCCCTGCTGGTGGACGATGGCCCCGGGGCCTCCGGGCCTTGGCGGCAGATGCTCCCACTCGAGGATCTGAAACCAGGTGTCTCCTCCTGCATCCTGGAGCCTGGCAGGGATGCGGTTCACACAAAGGCCTGTCCCTGCCCAGACGGCCATGGGAAGGCTGGCCCTCACCTTCTCCAGGGTGACTGATTTTCCGACCCCGGGTCTGTCCCGGTGAGGGATGCTCAGCCCCAAGGCCTCATCGTCCACACGGCCCCAGTGTCTCTTGGCGGCTGTTACAACGGGGCTTGTGGGTATCCACCAACTCCACTCGGGGTTACAACTGCCGTCCACTTGGTTCTCCCCTGGGGTCAAGGGGCTGGATGCAGCCTGTGGTGGCTGGGAGGCCAGAGAGCGAGGGGCAGGTAAAGGTGGCCATAAGGTCAGAGGGCAGTGAGGTCAGAGGTTTGCGATGTCAGAAGGCGGAGGAGCAGGTCTGCACAGCAGCTGAGCAGCATGAACTTCTGGACCTGGACACCGTCTAACATCTGGGCAGCCGTGGAAACCTGCCCAGGTGGAGTGACCCTAGGCCCCCTGCCCGATCATGTTCCTGTAGTCGGGGACGATCGTCCGCTTCAGCTCCACCACCGAGGAGAAGATCCATTTCACCTGCAGCGGGCGGGCCAGGGGTGAGCGTGGCCTGGACCCAATGCCGGCCTCCGCCAGGGCCTGCCTGCCCTGCACCCGGGCCACGTGACGGTGGGGGTCACGGGGGGACAGCAAGGGGACATGGTGGGAACAGTGAGGGGACAGAGAGTGGACAGTGTGGGGACAGCTTGGTGACAGTGAAGGACAGTGTAGAGACAGTGTCTTGACAGCCAGGAGTCAGTGCGGAGACAGTGAGGGGACAGTGATGAGGCAGCAAGGGGTCGGTGTGGCAAGTGTGGGACAGTGTGACAACATGGTGGGGACTGTGAGGGGACAGTGAGGGGACAGTGAGGGGACATGGTGAGGACAGTGTGAGGACAGCATGGTGACAGCGAGGGGGCAATATGGGGATGGCCTGGCCCACCTTGAAGAGGGTGACGGTGGCGCTGTAGCACACGCTGAGCAGGAAGAGCGTGATGAAGATGGAAATGGTGGTCCACAGCCCGTCCAGCTCCCCGTCCTGGGTCTCGGCACAGCTCTCGTCCAGGACCATCTCTGCACAGGGAGGGGGTGGTCAGTGCTGTGCCTGCCTGAGGGGGCTGGGCAGGGTAAGTGGGGCCCCCGGGGGTGGTTCTGTCTGTGGCAGAGTGGGTGGGGCAGGTGGGATCCCTCAGCTGGGCAGGGTCAGTGGTGCCCTGAGGTCAGTCTCTGTGCTGTGACCTCAGTCCTCTATTCCTCCAGCTGGGACCCCAAGTCTCAGCCAGTCACCCCTGACCCAGATCTCAGCCAGGCCAGTGGAGGACCAACTATCTCCTCTGCTCTGGTCTGCGCTGGGCCCTCTGGGGAGAAGGTGCCCGAGCCCTGCAGGACAGAGGCTCAGGCCCCGCCTCCTCTCTCCTGGGGACCGGGCCCTGAGGGCAGGAGGGTCAGCAGAGCCTGTGGTCATCTGGGCCCCTGCCCCGGGGAAGGGCCGAGACAGGATTGGATGTGTCCCCAGTGCATGAGCCGTGGGAGTGCTGGGGACAGCTGGGTGTGGGGGTTTCTGAGTGTTAGGGTGGGGTATGTGCCGGGGGAGTGGAGGACCGATTGTCAGAGCTGGTCATGTGGTCAGTGTGAGGACGAGCACTGGGCAGCCCGTGGGGCGTGGGAGGGGGTGGGGTCCAGCTGGTGTCCAGGCTGAGGGTTCAGGAGACCAGGCTTCGTGCTCTGTTGGGCAGGTGTCGGTTGCCCTTGTGTAAGGCCCCAGTGTGTAAGACCAGCTCTGTGTGTGTGTGTGTGTGTGGAGCTGGTGTGTGGGCTGGCACTGCTCAGTGAGAGGGGCTTGTTTTCAATGGGTCTTGGCTCAGTGTCCACATGGCCATCAGGGATGGTCCCTCCCCAGGCACTCAAGGCCTCCTGCGCCTTTGGGCATCTGGAGTGAGTGTCTCCATGAGGGGACAGGCCTGGCCCCAGGCAGGACAAGGTCAGGCAGAGCCCCCTCACCTGAGGGAGGGTGGGGGCCTGATCTTGGAGTGCCCGAGGGCAAAGGAGGGCCTGTCCCCACACCACTGGCCCGCAAGCCTTTCGTGCAGGCCAGAGCCACCAGGCAGAGCTCTCGAGTGACCCAGTGGACAGGGATCCTGGGGGACAAGGATGGGCCATGTTCCCACAGCTCGGGCTCCTACAGAGGAGGGACGCCCTCACGTGCATTTCCCTGATGGCTCTGGAGGGGCTTCTCCTGTTCCCTGGCCACCCTCCAGCCCCGAGCTGCTGCTGGCAGGAGGGCGGCCCAGAGGAGCTGCCGCCTCTGACGAGGCCCTTGCCCGCTCGGCAGCCCCTCCTGCTCTCCTGGGCGGCCTGCACAGGTTCCCACACCCTGGGTCTGATCCGAATGGGACCCACTCTCCTGTAATAGTGACAATGTGGCCTTGGAGCCTGGCTGCCCCGCTGCCTGCAGGCCTGGCCAAGCGCCAGAGCTCTGCCTCAGAAAGAACCACGACCGCGTCGCAGGGTCCCAGGGCCATGCTGGGTGCTTTATTTCATGCTGGGTGCCCGGGAAGGTATGTACACAGGGGTGGGGGCTCAGGTGTCCTCGCTGGACTCTGAGAGCCCACGGGGAAGGAGGGATGGCTTGCTGGGTGCCGGGCCCATGGCTCATTTACCCGGGTTCTTGGAGACGTTCTTCTGTGTGTAGTGATTGTGGAGAGCCTCGTGCATCACCCCACACGTGAATGTCGTTCCCTGCTGCCACCTGTTCCTGTCCACGGAGAGCTTGCTGTACAGGAAGTAGGACCCGTCGCTGTCCTGCTGGGCTTGGGTGGTGCTGTACTTGGTCTCCAGCTCTGGCTGCCCATTACTCTGCCACTCGATGTTGATTTCAGGTGGGTAGAAGTCCTTGACCAGGCAGGTCACGCTGACCTTGCTCTTGGACAGCTCGTCTGGGTGTGGGGCCAGGACGTACACTTGCGGCTCCTGGGACCGCCCTGTGGGGACAGGGGTCAGCACAGATGGTCACTCCCTGGGTGGCCCCGTAGGAACTTCCCTGTGCTCGTCTGCCCTGCCCTCACCTTTGGTCTTGGTGATGGTCCTCTCGATGGGTTGTGGGAGGGCTTGGTTGTTGACCTTACACTTGAACTCCTTTCCTGACAGCCAGTCCTGGTGCTGGATGCGGAGGACGCTGACCACGCGGTAAGTGCTGTTGAACTGCTCCTCCTTCGGCCTCGTCGTGGCTGTGCGCACCTCCACCCCGTCCATGTACCAGTTGAACTTGACATCAGGGTTCTCCTGGCTCACGTCCACCACCACGCAGGTGACCTCGGGTGTTCGGGTGATCATGAGGGTGTCCTTGGGATTCGGGGGGAAGATGAAGACCGAAGGCCCTCCCAGGAGCTCAGGAGCTGGTGGGGGAGACATGGCGATGGTGGGTCAGCACCTGGGTGGGCCTCCTTTTGGGCACTCATTCCCCTCATGGGCCACGCCTGTGCTTGGGCCACCACCTGGGGGTAAAGGATGAGGCTTGGCTGACTCACCTGGGCATTTGGGACACTTGCTCATGTCGCACACTTTTTGGTGGTTGTTGGGAATGGGCTCTGCAGAGAGAACAGACAGGGGTTACCGGGGCAGGAGGGAGATGGCCCTGGGGTGAGCTGACGTCAGGGCCAGGTTTTGGCAGGTCTGAGACCAGCGTGCCTCCTGGGGCCCAAGGGGCTGGGTTAGGGCTGTCCAGGCTGCCTATGCTCTGGGCATGGCAGAAATACCCAGAGGACCCCTCCCTTTGCTCGGGAGGCCTCTCCTGCTGCCCTGGGGTCCAGGCAGGAGGGCAGAGCCTGGCCTGTCTTGCAGGGAATGCCCTCCCTGCGGCCCCTCCTCTCACCGATTCTCTTGTCCACCTTGAAGTTGCTGGCCGCGTGGACTACGTTGCAGATGTAGGTCTCGCTGGTCCAGGTGCTGGCAGGCACGGTCACCATGCTGCTGAGGGAGTAGAACCCTGAGGACTGCAGGACGGAAGGGAAGGTGTGCACGCCACTGGTCAGGGAGCCCGAGTTCCAGGACACCTTCACTGGCTCGGGGAAGTATCCGGAGACAAGGCAGCCCAGGGCCACCGTGGAGTCAGATGTGGTCCCACAGCCGGGGGCCAGCGCGAAGACCTTCGGGGCGGTGGTGGAGGCTGCAAGAGAGGAGGCGTGTGACCACCAGGGCCTGCCCCTGCGCCCGTGTGTTTCCAGAGAGTCTGAGGCCTAGATGCCCCTTGTGGCTGCCTGTCATCAGGGCTGGTGCCTCTGCAGCCACAGGCTCAGAGAACCTAGATTAGAGCCCCCTGGGGCCCCTGCCCCTTGTCCCTGCTCAGGCCTCCTGCAGGTGGCCCGCCTGACTGAGTCCCCAGTCTGAGCCCGGACCAGAGACCTGTGCTTCTGGTCGGCTTCTGATGGACCCTAATCTGCTGTCCTGTGGCCCCAGCCTGGCCCAGCCCTGGGCGATTGGGCATCTCTTCAGGTGTGGTGGGCCTCTGCGCCGCACTGTCCCTGTTGTCTCCCGGCCCCTCAGCTCAGTGACTTTGCCATGGCCTGTCTCTGCTCGCCAGGCCACGTGTCATCTGAGTCAGCTCCACAGCCACAGCACCAGGAGTACTTGTCCCCAACGCTCCCCTGATCCTGATCCTGTCTTGAACCCTGTTCATGCCTTGGGCTTTGTCCTTGCCCTCGACCCCATCCCTGTCCTGAACCCATCCCTTCCCTGTCCTGGACCCCGTCCCTTCCCTGGACTCCATCCGTGTACTGGACCCCATCCCTGGGAGTCTTCTTGTCCCCCTCCCCTCCCATCCCTGTGTGTCCCCAGCCCAGCCTCCTGCATGTGCCTCTGGGCCCCCTACCCGCTCAGGTCCTCCTGGCCCGGCTTCCTGAGCTCACCTCCGGCCCCTCCCTGCCAGCGCCGCCTGCCCTCTGCCCTCCCTGCTCTTGGGCCTGTCCAGCTCCTTGCTCACTGCAGAGCCCTCCTCCAGCTGTGGTCCTTCCCCAGCACAGCCGGCCCCTGGGCGCGGGCGGGAGCCATGCGCTGCGCTCGGCACTCCTCTCCTCTCGGTGCCAGCCTCCCCAGGCCCCCGTGTGGGCCAGGGTGCAGCCTCCACCCCCAACAGCCAGGCCCACCCTGTCCCCTCCTCCCCTGAGTCCTGTCTGCTCAGCCGCAGGGCCTTGCCTGGCCTCTCCCCATGCTGGTAGCCTGGGCTCAGGCCCCAAGGGGACTCTTACTCTTCCATGCACTGAGCCCACTGCGCTGTGCCACCCCACACTGAGTCCGAATGTCTATCCCTCCTGTCCCATGTCCCCACAAACCCCAGAACAGGGCCGGTGTGCCTGGACCCAAGAACTGCATCCGATCTGGTCCTCTCAGGGATGCCCCCGACCCCTTCAGCCCTAGACTCCTTCCATCCCAGGGGCCCCCCTCCATCCAACTCAACAGGCACCTGGCAACTCAACCAGCTCAACTCTCCTCCCTGCCCAGCCAGCCTGACCTGAGCCCTGGGAGCCTCCAGCTGTCCCTGCTCCCTGTACCCCCTCAGGTCCCACCAGTTGAGGGCTCTGTTTAACTCAGGCCCAGTGCCCTTCATCCCCTAAAGTCGTGGGCAGCCCCCTGCCTCTCCAGACCTCTCACCAGCACCTGCTCACCTGTACCTGCTCTGCCTGCTCCCCCGGAACTCCTGGGCAGGACCCTGCCCCCCCAGCTCTCCCACCGGCCCCTGCTTACCTATAGCTTCTCTGTCTGCTCCTGTGGAGCTCCTGGGCAGGACGCTGCCCCTCCAGCTCTCCCACCTGCCCTGCAACCAGTAGCTGCTCTGCCTGCTCCCCTGGAGCTCCTGGGCAGCCCGCTGCCCCTCCAGCCCTCTCACCTGCCCCTGCTCACCTATAGCTGCTCTGCCTGCTCCCTGGAGATCCTGGGCAGGCCCCTGCCCCTCCAGCCCTCCCACCTGCCCCTGCAACCAGTAGCTGCTCTGCCTGCTCCCCCGGAGCTCCTGGGCAGCCCCCTGCAACTCCAGATCTCTCACCGGCCCCTGCTCACCAGTTTCTGCTCTGTCTGCACCCATGGAGCTCCTTGGAAGTCCCCTGCCCCTCCAGCCCTCCCGCTGGCCCCTGCTCACCTATAGCTGCTCTGACTACCCCGCTGGAGCTCCTTGGCTGCCCCCTGCCCCTCCAGCCCTCCTGCTGGCCACTGCTAACCTATAGCTGCTCTGCCTGCTCCCCCAGAGCTCATGGGCAGCCACCTGCCGCTCCAGACCTCTCACCAGCGCCTGCTCACCTGTACCTGCTCTGCCTGCTCCCCCGAACTCCTGGGCCGGACCCTGCCCTCCAGCTCTCCACCGGCCCTGCTTACCTATAGCTTCTCTGTCTGCTCCTGTGGAGCTCCTGGGCAGGACCCTGCCCTGCAGCCCTCCCACCGGCCCCTGCTCACCTGTAGCTGCTCTGCCTGCTCCCCCGGAGCTCCTGGGCAGCCCCCTGCCCCTCCAGCCCTCCCGCTGGCACCTGCTCCACTGTAGCTGCTCTGACTACCCCGCCGGAGCTCCTGGGCATTGCCCTGCCCCTCCAGCCCTCCCACCTGCCCCTGCTCACCTATAGCTGCTCTGCCTGCTCCCCCGGAGCTCCTGGGCAGCCCCCTGCCCCTCCAGCGCTCCCGCTGACCCCTGCTCACCAGTAGCTGTTCTGCCTGCTCCCCTGGAGCTCCTGAGCAGTCCTCTGCCCCTCCAGCCCTCCACTTGCTCCTGCTCACCTGTAGCTGCTCTGCCTGCTCCCCCGGAGCTCCTGGCAGCCTCCTGCCCTCCAGCCCTCCCGCTTGCCCCTGCTCACCTGTAGCTGCTCTGACTACCCTGGCGGAGCTCCTGGGTATCCCACTGCCCCTGCAGCCCTCCCACCGGCCCCTGCTCACCTGTAGCTGCTCTGCCTGCTCCCCCGGAGCTCCTGGGCAGCCCCTGCCCCTCCAGCCCTCCCACTGGCACCTGCTCCACTGTAGCTGCTCTGACTACCCCCCCAGAGCTCCTGGCATTGCCCTGCCCCTCCAGCCTCCCACCTGCCCCTGCTCACCTATAGCTGCTCTGCCTGCTCCCCCGGAGCTCCTGGGCAGCCCCTGCCCCTCCAGCGCTCCCGCTGACCCCTGCTCACCAGTAGCTGTTCTGCCTGCTCCCCTGGAGCTCCTGACAGTCCTCTGCCCCTCCAGCCCTCCCACTGCCCCTGCTCACCTGTAGCTGCTCTGACTACCCTGCCTGAGCTCCTGGGCAGCCCCTGCCCCTGTAGCCCTCCCACTGGCCCCTGCTCAACTACAGCTTCTCAGCCTGCTCCCCCAGAGCTCCTGGGCAGCTCCCTGCCCCTCCAGCCCTCCCGCTGGCCCCTGCTCACCTATAGCTGCTCTGCCTGCTCCCTGGAGATCCTGGGCAGGCCCCTGCCCCTCCAGCCCTCCCACCTGCCCCTGCAACCAGTAGCTGCTCTGCCTGCTCCCCCGGAGCTCCTGGGCAGCCCCCTGCAACTCCAGATCTCTCACCGGCCCCTGCTCACCAGTTTCTGCTCTGTCTGCACCCATGGAGCTCCTTGGAAGCCCCCTGCCCCTCCACCTCCCGCTGGCCCCTGCTCACCTATAGCTGCTCTGACTACCCCGCTGGAGCTCCTTGGCTGCCCCCTGCCCCTCCAGCCCTCCTGCTGGCCACTGCTAACCTATAGCTGCTCTGCCTGCTCCCCCCAGAGCTCATGGGCAGCCACCTGCCGCTCCAGACCTCTCACCAGCGCCTGCTCACCTGTACCTGCTCTGCCTGCTCCCCCGGAACTCCTGGGCCGGACCCTGCCCCTCCAGCTCTCCCACCGGCCCTGCTTACCTATAGCTTCTCTGTCTGCTCCTGTGGAGCTCCTGGGCAGGACCCTGCCCCTGCAGCCCTCCCACCGGCCCCTGCTCACCTGTAGCTGCTCTGCCTGCTCCCCCGGAGCTCCTGGGCAGCCCCCTGCCCCTCCAGCCCTCCCGCTGGCACCTGCTCCACTGTAGCTGCTCTGACTACCCCGCCGGAGCTCCTGGGCATTGCCCTGCCCCTCCAGCCCTCCCACCTGCCCCTGCTCACCTATAGCTGCTCTGCCTGCTCCCCCGGAGCTCCTGGGCAGCCCCCTGCCCCTCCAGCGCTCCCGCTGACCCCTGCTCACCAGTAGCTGTTCTGCCTGCTCCCCTGGAGCTCCTGAGCAGTCCTCTGCCCCTCCAGCCCTCCCACTTGCTCCTGCTCACCTGTAGCTGCTCTGCCTGCTCCCCCGGAGCTCCTGAGCAGTCCTCTGCCCCTCCAGCCCTCCCACTTGCTCCTGCTCACCTGTAGCTGCTCTGCCTGCTCCCCCGGAGCTCCTGGGCAGCCCCCTGCCCCTCCAGCCCTCCCGCTGGCACCTGCTCCACTGTAGCTGCTCTGACTACCCCGCCGGAGCTCCTGGGCATTGCCCTGCCCCTCCAGCCCCCCCACCTGCCCCTGCTCACCTATAGCTGCTCTGCTTGCTCCCCCGGAGCTCCTGGGCAGCCCCCTGCCCCTCCAGCCCTCCCACTGGCCCCTGCTCAACTACAGCTTCTCAGCCTGCTCCTCCCAGAGCTCCTGGGCAGCCCCCTGCCCCTCCAGCCCTCCCGCTGGCACCTGCTCACCTGTAGCTGCTCTGACTACCCCGCCGGAGCTCCTGGGCAGCCTCCTGCCCCTCCAGCCCTCCCGCTTGCCCCTGCTCACCTGTAGCTGCTCTGACTACCCTGGCGGAGCTCCTGGGTATCCCACTGCCCCTCCAGCCCTCCCACCGGCCCCTGCTCACCTATAGCTGCCCTGACTACCCCGCCGGAGCTCCTCGGCAGGCCCCGGCCCCTGCAGCCCTCCCACCGGCCCCTGCTCACCTATAGCTTCTCTGCCTGCTCCCGCTAGAGCTCCTGGGCAGCCCCCTGCCCCTCCAGACCTCTCACCAGCGTCTGCTCACCTATAGCTGCTCTGCCTGCTCCCCTGGAACTCCTGGGCAGGACCCTGCCCCTCCAGCCCTCCCACTGGCCCCTGCTCACCTGTAGCTGCTCTGACTACTCCGCCAGAGCTCCTGGGCAGGTCCCTGCAGCCCTCCCATCGGCCCCTGCTCACCTGTAGCTGCTCTGCCTGCTCCCCGGAGCTCCTGGGCAGCCCCCTGCCCCTGCAGCCCTCCCATCGGCCCCTGCTCACCTGTAGCTGCTCTGCCTGCTCCCCGGAGCTCCTGGGCAGCCCCCTGCCCCTGCAGCCCTCCCACCGGCCCCTGCTCACCTGTAGCTTCTCTGCCTGCTCCTGTGGAGCTGCTGGGTAGCCCCTGCCCCTTCAGCCCTTCCTGCTTCCTACTTACATGCCAAGCTCTGCTCTCCACACCCATGGGGCTCCTGGGCTGTGACCTGTCCCTCCTGGTCTCCCATTCCCCTGCTCACCTGTAGCTGCTCTACCTGCCCCCTTCCAGAGCCCCTGGGCAGCCCCCTTTCCCTCCAGCCCTCCCACTGGCCTCTGCTCACCTGTAGCTGCTCTGCCTGCCCCCATGCATCTCTTGGTGTAGGCTCCTGTCCTTTTGTGCCCTCCCACCTTCCCCTGCTCATCCGTAGCTGTTCTTCCCGTTGTCCCTGGAACTCCAGGTCCACAGCAGCCCTCTGTCCCTCCTGTCCTACGATCCCCTCCACACAGCTCAGGTCCCTAAGCTCAGCCCCAGGCTGCTGGGTCTGCCCAGGGCTGCCTTTGCCCCTCCTGCCTCTCCCAGCACCCTCAGCCCAGGTTCACCCTCCATCCTGGGCTCATTCCTTTCCCATCACTGGCCTTTGCCTCCTGGAGCCACCAGATGCCCACCCTCTCTCTGGCTAACTCTCCCCTGGCAGAGCCCCTGCCTGCCGTGGTCTCCTCCTGGAGGAGCTCCTGGCCCAGCTGGGCTTCACCGTCTCTGTGCCCCTCACGGCGCTCAGAAGCCCATCTGGAAGGCCCCTCGGGACTGTGCTCCCTCCATTGCTGGGTCAGCTCCCCTTGCCACCCAGCTCCCAACACTGCAACCCCAGCACCTGCTCTGGACCCTCACTGCCTGGCTCCCAACGTCTGCCTGTAGCCACTGAGCTCCTGCCCAGCCCTGTGCAGTCTGAGTTCTGAGCACATGGGTGCATCCGCCGGCCCTTTGGGCTCTGCACCTGGCTCACCTGCTGCCCTCGGTCCTGGCTACAGCCTAGGACACCATGGCGGCCACCTCTGACCCTGCCCTGGGGCTTGAGCTGGCTCATTGGCGTGGACAGGACCCTTAGGCCACCTGGAGGTCCTCTTCCTCCCCTGCTCTGAGCCAGCCCCCTCTCTGTGCTCAAACCCATCTGTGCATCCTGGCGTCCGTGCTGCAGCAGCTCAGCTCCTGGCTGGTCCTGCCCTCAGCACAGCTGGCCAAATGCAGCCCTCAGGCTTCTGGCCTCAAGGTCATCAATTTCCTCAAGGTTAACTTTCATGGGCCTCTGGTGTGTCCAGCTCTGTTGGGGTGGGCGTGCCCTGCCCATGGCTGCCTGGTGCCTGCGTCCGGTTGGCACCGTGGCTCGTGGGCAGCCTGCCCTCCCCCGTGCTGGCTCAGCTGCTTGAGCCCCTCGGAGTCGTCCCTGGGTGCCTGGGCTCCCCGTAGCTCTGCAACCGTTTCCACTGCCCTGACTCCACTCCCTTCCCCCTGCTCCGTGGGGACCCCACTCACCAAGGGTGGGGGCTGTGGAGGTGGTGGAAGCCAGGGCTTCCGAGGAGCTCCCCCCACGCCCCTGCTCTGGCCCCGGGCACATGTGGCTCCTCGCGGCCCCGGGCTTGTTGCCCTCTGCCCTGCTTCCTAGGAGTTGGTAGCTGGTTCCCGGAGGTGGTAGCTGGTTCCCGGAGGTGGGAACCCACTCTCCACGACCCTGCAAAGACTAAGAACGGGACTGAAAGCAGGGGCACCGCTTGCTCCCTGAAGTTCCCTTTTCTTCTGGGTGGTTTCTGTCTTAGAGAGCCGGGGGGAGTACAGACGTGAGGCAGAGGCTGCCACACGTGGGTGTGTGGGAGTGGAGGGGGTCTGGCGCCCAGGACTCTGGGGAGAGTGCAGGAAGTCCGGGCTCACATGCCTCTCTTTGCTCTCTCCCTCCCACAAGGATTATGCCCGATGGCCCCACCAAAGGCCAGGGCACCCAGGCCTCTCACCTGAGCCCTCTGGTACCCACAGCCCAGAGGACACCTCCCCCTGCCCTAGTCAGCGTCCATTGTGGACACAGGCTGTCCTGCTCACAGCCCGCAGCTCAGCCCAGGGCCTCATCCTGTCCTCCTGCCAGGCCAGCCCCCTAAGTACAAAGCCGTCTTCCTCTGGGTCCCTGCCTCTTCCCTCCATCCCTCTCTGGCTCCATCCATGGCTGGATCTCTGACTGAAGGGTGGTAGCACCCAGGGTCCCAGGGAAGATATTCTCCCATCCACAGCTGTCCTCTGGGGACAGAAAGAAGTCTATGTACAAGGACAGAGTCCACGGTGGTCACTGGGGCCCAAAGGTCTCCTCTGTCTGAGAGACAGCATGCTGTTCCTGTCCTCCCGTGTGTGGGCCAGGACCCAGCTTTTTGTCTGTGGGGGGACACGGACCCTCAGTGTCTCATGACTTGCAGTGCCTCGGCACACCCAAGGCCCCGTGTACAAACCTGGGCCATCCCGTCTCTTGCACGTTAGGCCTTGGATCGGGGATCCCTGGGCGGCACCATGGTCCCCACCCTGGAATTGCCGGGGGCCAGGTAGGTGACTGGACGTGAAGGCAGGCCTGGCTCCTTCCAATGGTTGGTGGGCAGGGGCGTACGCTGTGGCCGCTTAGGTGGGCCAAGAGCAAAGTCCAAAGCGAACCTTCTAGGAGGTGACCTGAGATGTACGAGGGGAGTCGGCCCTCCCACCTGTTGCTATTTGCAGCACCCTTTGGCCTCGGGTGTCCCCAGAGCCACTCCACATCCCCCAACGGTCTACTCTGGGTCCCTCTGCCTCCCCTGCTCTCTGGTCCTCGTGCTTACTTTCTAGAGTTGAGGTTTCTCAGAGCAGCGCCCACGTGCGGGTCCCATATCGTGTCCGGCGGTTCATGGGTGTGCTGTGGACCGCCCCACAGAGAGTGGCCTCTGCAGCTCTTCTGCTGATTTGCTTCTGCGTTGGTGGCCTGCAGGCAGTGCCGGCTTCTGTGGGCGGGGGCGCTCCTCTCTGCTCCACTCGCATCAGCGAGGGGCTGGAAGGCTCCACCTGGAGTCTGGCGCCTGGGCTGGGCGGGCGCCCGTGTTCCCTCTGTCTCTGTGATCTTTCCATGGGGATTGCCCACGCTGAGTGGTGCCCGGGCCTGACTCCCAGGAGGAGCCCTGTCTCCTTAGGTCCTGCTCTCAGAGACCCAGCAGTGGTCCCTCAGTGGCCCTGTCCCCATGGAGTCAGTCGCATGGGTACCCTGGGGTCTGGTGAGGGAAGTGAACCTCTGCATGGGGCAGGACCAGGTGATGGAGGAGCCTGTGGTCCTGGGAATGTTGCTGTGGACACCCAGAAAACGCCGTCAGCAGCAGCCTTGGTGAAGGGAGTGCCCTCTGGTCCCTCCGGGATGAATTCATGATAATCCACTGCACACTCCCGGCGGCTCTGGCCCGGCCTCCTCTCCATGGCGCCCACGCAGTTTTGCCATCTCTCCCACGGAAGGCAGCCTCCCTCAGTCATGTGCTCCGCAGGCTGTGAGCATCGCTGCCGTTACATAAGAAGCACGTTCATCTATGTAATTTCTGGTCAGGAAATGTTGAGGCAATAAACTATAATCAATCTGTTAATCAAAATTGGGGTGAGTTTATTATTTGAGCCAATTTGAGGACTACATAGCCCGGGACAATAACCTTCACCAAGGAAGGAAGTGTTGTGAAGAAGCCGGGTGTGCAGCGTGGTTATATACCGTCTTGGAACAAGGGACGTACATCACATATGACAGGAGTATCTCTTTTACTACAGTCACAAGATGCTTTGCTAGTATTGCGGGTGAGTGATCACAAGATGACACAGTAGGTCAGTAACGAATCCTTGCATTCTGGGAAGAAGTGCTCATCTATAAAGAAATGCCAAAAGGGGGCAGGATAATTTCAAGGGCATCATTCTTGCTTTGGGACATTGTAAATGCAGCAGATGTACAATGCATATTCGACAGGCACATCAGGACTTTCCAGAAAAACTAGATGAGGCCTAATTAGTCTAAACCAAATGGCTTCCTCATATACCTCAACATTTTAACTTTTCTTATTGCTTTCATTGATTCATTATTTTCCCACCTTTGATCGATAATGTTTTTATAGAAAGCACTGATGATCTAAATATTGTCCCTTGGTGCTATGGTGATTGTTGCCTGCCCTGGTCCATGATGGCCATCAGTGCTGGGCTTTTATCTCATTGACGTGCTCAGTTATGCCCAATGGCAGGAAATAGTTGGATATAGTGGATGAGCATAGAGGTATACAATTACAGGGGAAGCATTCCATAGGTTATGTAAGTTTTCAGTAACTTTAGATTGTCACACAAACGTTGTACCTATGCTTTGATCTGACTCATGATGCTGCATGTGCCTAATTATAGAACAGCTACACTAACAGTGCTGATAATTCAAAACTTGAAAGGATTATTTGAAAAATGAGTTCTTAGGCATAGTCTTATGAGAAGGAAATTCATCCAGGGTTGTAAGATCAATCAATCACCTCAAGTGGCTGAGCAACCATTATTCTAGCCTGCATGCCAGTCTTACAACGTTGAGTAAAGGAAAGAGTAATTAGTTTGCATATTATGATTAATAGAAGAATTCCAAGGAGTAACAGACACAGGAATTGCAATTCAGATTTCAAGAGGGCAGCCACACCTGAAGGGAGCCAACCACGCAAATCAAGCCTGGATGCAGGATCGCTTAAGGCATTTACCTGCTTTTCCAAGTGCTTTAGCAGAGAGGACACATTGGAAGACTCATCAGGTCTAAAAACGCAGCGTTCAGTTTGAATGAGTGCACATGTCCCACCTTGGGATGCTGTTAGACTATCTAAGGCCATTCTGATGGGGAGACAGCCCTCCCCACTAAAGACATTTGAGTATTTAATAAGGGTATTCCTACCTGACTTTCATTGAGGGCAGTTTGAGTAAATTTAGTTAGAGCCTCTATGTGATATGACATCTTGTAGCCCAAGGAAGCAGCAAATATAGCCGCTGGTGGTCATACCAGTGAACACTGATGGAGTCCATCTGGCCTTACTGGGAGGAACATTGAGACCAGCTGTTAGCTCAGGGCGACTCCTTCCCTGCCTCCAAAGGAAGTCCAGGGTGCAGTGTCCCAGCCATCCAGGCAGGAGCCAAGACTAGAGGTTTGTTCCACACAACCACTGAGTTCCATTAGGAGCCACCCAAGGAACACCCAGCCACTGAGACCAGTCTGTTTCAAAGCATTCATGTACTTTGAACATGGTAGTATTGTGACATGACTTGGGGGATATCTATCCCATATTTGTGTAAAGTCTCCGATAGTTCTCACTGTAATATCTGGTTTATTTGCAAATTATTGTATAATTGGATCGTCAGAGTAACAGAAAAAGAGTGGTCGTGCCCTGTCTCATTAATAGTATGGTGCATTAGCCATGTTTCAAGGACCATAATTAGTAATATTCGACCAACTGCTGACTCTGGAACTAGATTTTTCCCTCATAATAATCTGCTTTAAAGCTTTGCAATCCCTATCTTGAAAGAGAGAAACCCTCTAAGGTAACCCAGATGTACTAGAAAGGGGAAGCAGGCCACCTATCCAGCAATTGAACAGATTTTTGTGTGTTACAAAGGAATGTGAGCATTGTAAGACATTGCCATCAGAGGCCCATTCAGATGTGGATTGGAATAACAAACATACTATCAGGAAAACTTAAGTGGCATTTTTTTGATTAATTAAAATGTTTTGTAATTAGGCTATAATCTGGCTTATAGAGTTGGGTGGGGAGTAAAGTATTGTGATAGGTAAAACTGTACTGCAATCTAGAAATTGATTATTGTACTAATTACAGAGTGTTCAAACATTACGAAGGTATAAATGAGGAGATACAGGTTAGGAATAGAGGCTTGGTCCAAGTCTTGTCACAGTTGTCTACAACAGATGACTCTTCTCACCCTGGTTTGGAGACATTTTTCTTGGTCAGTAGAAGTTGAGTATCATAAATAGGAGCTGAAATCAACTCAGGTGGAAAAGTCCATTTTTTTAATTGAGAACTGTGAATCCACGAGTCTACGCATCTTAATTTTGCCATGTGAGATTGGTTAAGAGTACCTGGTATGGTCCTTTCTAACCAGGTCCCAAAGGGTCTTTTATGTGGTGACTTTTCCAATAAAGAAAAGCTCCAGGTTGTTGACCATGATCCTTAGCATCTTTGTCTCCTGGGGGCTTTGTCTCCTGAGCAAAGTTGGTTCATACATTCCCTCATCTAATTGCATAGGTCATCCTCTTATTGTTTCAAAAGGAGGCAGCTGATGTTTCCCAAAGTGTGCAGATCTAAGACTGGGGAGCAACAGCAGAGGAGCTTCTGGCCCTGAGAGATGAAATGCTTCTGAAAACTTTGCCAATTGAGTTTTGAATGTGCCTTCAGTTAAAATGTTGCATTATTGGGCCTAATGTCACAAATAGATTTCATTATTTGTCTAGTGAAATGAGTTCCTAGGTCACTCAGTAGGAATTCCCCAAACAGGTATTATCCTTTCCAATAATAATTTACTTACTGTTAAAGCCATTGCTCTTCTGCAAGGAAAAGCCCCAACCCAATGTGA